CCTGGCAGTGCAGTGGGCCGGGGGGCCACTGTCCACCCCACGGCTGGCTACCTCCCCGACTTCCTCACCCCTCCGCAGCCCCCCTCCGGCTTCTCCTTCTCCTGCCCCCGGCAGCTCAAAGTGCCCCCTTACTTGGGCTACCGGTTCCTGGGGGAGCGGGACTGCGGGGCCCCCTGCGAGCCAACCCGGCCCAACGGGCTCATGTACTTCAAGGAGGCAGAGGTGCGATTTGCCCGGCTGTGGGTGGGCGTGTGGTCTGTGCTCTGCTGCGCCTCCACACTCTTCACCGTGCTCACCTACCTGGTGGACATGCGCCGTTTCAGCTACCCAGAACGGCCCATCATCTTTCTCTCGGGCTGCTACTTCATGGTGGCAGTAGCCTATGCAGCAGGTTTCTTGCTGGAGGAGCGGGTGGTATGCCTGGAGCGCTTCTCTGAGGACGGCTACCGCACCGTGGCCCAAGGCACCAAGAAAGAAGGCTGCACCATTCTCTTCATGATCCTCTACTTCTTCGGTATGGCCAGCTCCATCTGGTGGGTCATCCTGTCCCTCACCTGGTTCCTGGCTGCTGGCATGAAGTGGGGCCATGAGGCCATCGAGGCTAATTCCCAGTATTTCCACCTGGCTGCCTGGGCTGTGCCTGCTGTCAAAACCATCACCATCTTGGCCATGGGGCAGGTGGATGGGGACGTACTCAGTGGGGTGTGTTATGTAGGTATCTACAGTGTGGACTCACTGCGGGGCTTTGTGCTGGCACCCTTGTTTGTTTACCTCTTCATTGGTACTTCCTTCTTGCTTGCTGGCTTTGTGTCCTTGTTTCGCATCCGCACCATCATGAAGCATGATGGCACCAAGACGGAGAAACTGGAGAAGCTGATGGTGCGCATTGGTGTCTTCAGTGTCCTCTATACAGTGCCTGCCACCATTGTCCTGGCGTGTTACTTCTACGAGCAGGCCTTCCGTGCCACCTGGGAGAAGACGTGGCTCCTTCAGACCTGCAAAACATATGCTGTGCCCTGTCCCAGCCACTTTGCCCCTATGAGCCCGGACTTCACTGTCTTCATGATCAAGTACCTCATGACCATGATTGTTGGGATCACGACTGGCTTCTGGATCTGGTCTGGCAAAACCCTTCAGTCCTGGCGACGCTTCTACCACAGACTCAGCACCGGCAGCAAAGGCGAGACAGCAGTATGAGACCCCCGTCCCCTGTGGTGCACACACACACGCACATATGCACACATGCAGAGGAGAGGGATACTCGGCAGAAGAGGACGGCAATGGCTCCCTGAAGAGGGAGGAAGGGAGGCTTTTCCAAACTTTTTCTGCCTCCCAGAGGGTTTGGAAAAAAAAAAAAAAATGTTGCGTAAAGGATCAGATGGACTGTGCCCAGTGGTGCTTATGCCCAGCTAAGTGGAAGAGCATGGAAAAAGAGGCCACTGGTGGGATGGGAGAGTCCTTCACATGCAAGAAGTCCCCTTACTTCTCTCTCCTCCTCCTCCTGTGCAGGAAAAAAACCGCAACCCAACTGAAAACATACTGTCTTGTGTTGGATGAGAGGGAAGGGAAGCCAGATCTGTTGAGCTGCCCCTGCTGAGAAGTAGCCAAACCCTCTCTGAATTGCTGGGGTCAAACTGCAGCACAGGGCAACTCCCGAGCCTGAGCTTACTGCCCGCTCCTTCCAGCTCGGCGGAGCCATCACGTGAGTACTGCACGACCAGCTCTAGCCCCGACCGTGTGCTGGTGAGATGCCTCTGTTCTGTCAACTCAGAAGTTCCCTTTTACCTCAGTGATACCTGTTGTAATTGTTTTAAAGTGAAAATTTGGCCCTGTCTGTTGTTCTTGCTGCTGTGGGGAAGGAGGGAGTTGCTATTCCTCACCCTGAAAAGAAATGACTTGTTGCTTTTCAGCAGAAGGCTTTTCCCCCTTGCCTTTGTTCTAGGAGACAAAGGGGGAAACAAAAGTGTTTTCTATGTAGAAAGGCATAAGCATGGGATCGGTTTTTATGGGCAAACTAACAAAAAGAAGTCGTTGAGGTTCACCCTTGGATGTGAGGAGCTCACAGAAATGAACATTCCTTTTTTGAAAAAAAGAGAAAGCAGGATGTTTTCCTATCCTTCAGTATGGGTCATTTTTCTAAGCTGAAGGAAATGCAAGACTTAGAGGGCAAGAAGAGCGTAACTGAGAGCACCTGTCAAAACAAGAGCCTTTAAAATATGTAATGTAAAGATACGATTTTTTTTTTCTTTCCTTCCCATAAACCTGCTTTGCAGTGAGCTTGCTGCAGGTAAAGTCAATACATAGCCAGCTTCTGGGGACAGGAGGAATCCTTTCAGCTCACGATGGACCCTTTGCCTGCTCCTCAGGTTCCCTGAACTGCATGGCAATGACTCGTGGTGCAGGAGGGGGCTGGGGCTGAGGTTTAAAAGCAAGTGAGGAGCCTTCTCATTTCAGCTAAAATACAGCTGGTTTAGTTTCCAGTGATCACATCTTGGAAGGAAAGACATTCAAAAATTAACCATCAAATGCATTGTTTTCTTTTTGAAATGTGACAGATTTTTCTCTTCTGAAATTTTTATGTTGACTTGTTCATATTTTATTTTTTGCTTACTACTTTTACCTTTATATTCACTGAAGGGTTGTTTTTATATGTGTGTATATTCTTGCCTAAGGACAAAATAGGAAATTCTGGATTTTTAGCAAGTCTCTACCCTATAGCTGCTCTTCATTTTTTGAGGGGAAAAGTGTCTGGAATGAAATTTAAAAAGAAAAAACCTGTTCAGGGTGAGGGGGCAGACTGCTGCTGTCTGAGGGCGTACTAGTAGTCTGGGCATGAGGAACAGGGCCCATCAGCCAAATCCTTCACTAGATCTGATCTCAGACTTGCAGGGCCGCAGTTTTTGTCTTTTATAATGTGCACATGGAAGAAAAAAACAAACATGTAAGTACAAGTGCAGTATGTATATTTTGTAAATCTCATTTTTGTAAGAAAATATGTATTTATGTTTTTACATGGTTTTTTTGAAGGTCTGTATGAGGCCCTGCTTCATCCCATGTACAGATTACTAAATAAATAGTTTTTAATACAAGGGCTCCAATGAAGTTCTTTCAGTCTTTAAACATTCAGCAGGTTATAGAAGGGGGGCAGCTCTGTGAGTTGCATCTTCCCCTGCCCCCCTGTATCGTTGTGGGAGATGCAAGAGACTTTTGGGTGAATACACCGAATATACTGACCACAAACTAGACTCTGACTTGGCCTTTCTGAGTACTGGCCCCTCGCAATAGGAGATCACATTTTGAGACTGTTTCAAATGTTTGCCCTCCCTTGAGGTACTTGCATCCTAGCCAAGTTTTCTTCCAGGCTCTGCCTCTGGCTGAGGGCAAGCTGATAAACCAGTTTCCTTATCTAGAAAATAAGGATAATGCTCTCTTCCCATTCCAAAGGGAGTTTGAGATTGAGAAATGGAGGGTGCTACAAGTGCCGTAAATTAAATCCTTGCTTTGATGGATGGAGTGTTTTAGGGAAACTCTAAGGACTAGGCCTTTTTCAAAAGCTTTCAAAGGGCAGTATTTTGAACTGGCTTTTTTCTCCCCCAGCACCTTTGCTAGCTCCAGTTTTGTTCAGGTTAATTTTACTTTAATCTTAATAGCTAGCCCGAAGCCTACATTCTTTCTTATCACAGTCACTGAAAGCTGATAGCTTCAATGGAATGGTCTATTTTATTTCATTTTTAAAACTGAAATGAATGTTTAGATCTTAAGCTGTGTTGCTACAATCACGGAAAGTGCCCCAGTAAACAGAATTTTACACCTCTGAAATTATAGTCTCCAGCTTTTCTCTCACATTGATTTCAGCCTATTTATTGGGTTTGTCACCCTTCCTTTACCTTAAATTATGACTATACTAAAACTGAAGTTACAGGACAGAGATCGATGGTGCCTTAGCTGGATGCCATCATGGTAGCTGTGATTGCGCTACAGTATTGTTTCACTTACCGAGCACAGTGTGCGATAGTTGCACTTTGTCTCAGGGCACTGTTTTATTTGGACACTCTGCTCTCAAACATAACCTTTTACATTTACAGTGTACGAACTACTGATTTAAAGTTCTTTTCGAAGCTAGCCCCATTCATGCTGCCTCTCTAGAAAAGCCACATCTTTTATTTGAAAACACCTCTAGCTTCTCCCCAGAATCACCCACTTGTCAAGTTTCCTTTTTGAAAAAGCCTTTGCTCTCCTGTGAGTCAGGCTGCTTCAAACCGCTCCATGACATGAGCTTGCTGATCATTGCTGAGGGGGGTTTCATTCCACTCACTTAGGAAACCTGAACCTTTCTATAAACATTTCCTCCCATTAATCCATCAGTGCTGGCTGGAGCGATGGAACGGCTGAAACAGCTTGTGCTCTGAAGGACTGGGAACCGATGGGAGCAGTGGCGTGACTGATGCCCCTGTGCTGTGCAGCCACAGCTGTGTTGCTAAACATGCAATTAATCCTTAATACATCATGGACATGTAGGGGGCCTGCCCCCGTGCTCTTCACTCACCACCCATCCTTGCTAGCTGGATGAGAAACTGCATTTAGGTGGGATCGATACTTTTTTGTCCAGATGCGGAAAAACTTACACTCTTTTTTCTCCAGTTCATGAGATATTAATATCTGAAAGGAAATGTCTCTATTTCCAGCAGAAACCACTAAAGCTGAATGCTTTTATTTTAGTATTTCCTATTAGGTACTTCTGGATTTAAAGTCACTTACACAAAACTATCCAAATCCTGGGATTTAAGCTGATTTTTAAAATTTGAGATTGTTGGTGAAATTTGATGCTGGTGTAAAGTAAAAGCAACTGCTATTCACTTTTAAGCAGATGTGACTCACATCAAGACTGAATTTGCTCACAGTGGAAACAATTCAGAGAATTTCAAGTAGTGATCGTGTCTGGCCTTCTGGAATAAAAATCTCTATCACCATTCTGATAACAAAGTAGCAGTTACTTCCATAATGAAGTACAATTTTAAAAAATTTAATTGTGACGCTGTATGGAAAAAAGGAGGAAGAATAAGCCTTCACTAACCTTTGCTAATCGCTGCAAAACTATTTTTCTTTGACTAATGTTTAAGTCCATTTTCAGGTAACATTTTTTTTTGTTTTAAGAAAAGTTTCCTACCCTTCACCTTTGGCTCTTGTCTATGCAGCAGTTTTGGTTCACATGACCTTGGCAAGTAATACTTATCATTGATCAATATTCCTGTAAGTTTACACCATATACTACATTTTCAGGAAATATACATAAACACTGGTTCTTAAGTTTCCAAGACCTTCATGTTTACTTTCCAGAAGAAAGTAGTATTATTTCAGGCAAGTTAAACAGGAGGCTTTAACAGTTCTAGAGTTCATGAATAGCAGCAGCAACTGAATGTTTGACTCTACAGAAAAAAGTACTTTTATAATATGTCAGTGTTTGTTTGGGTTTATTTTTGGTGGAATACCCACACCAGCAATTGAGTGTTTTTGTCTAAGTGCTTCACCCGCAACCAAGAGCTTTGCATGCAAGTAAAAAACCACACATCTCTGTGTTCACCAACTGGCAACAGTAAACATTATTTATGATTTCACATCGGTTTAGCAACCAAATTACTAGCTTGTATCTTAAATAGTCTTTTTTTCTGCATCTTATTTTTACTTCCTTCCAGACCTTACAGGTACTTTGTATACACCCTCCTGCTCTCCATACTTGCGTTCTACTCCTGTTATTTTTTAAAATCATGATCCAGCTGAAAGAAATTTAGTCTGTTGCTTGGAGATGAGAAGATGACTCTGAATCTTTCAGCACTATGACTGTTCACTGAGAAAGACTATTGCCAAGCCTGTTCTGTATAAACCAGGATAATTGTTTCATGCCAACATGAGAGTGTGGTTTTGGCAGCTACAACAATGCACAGGATAATATAGGATTGGGAGAATAAATTCACTGCATGGCAAGTTCCCAAATGCTCCACTTAAAACTGACACTTTTTGACTAAAATTATGCCCAAACTGTAAAACTAAAATACATACATCAGAATTTAATGCTGCTCAGACAACCAGTTTGTGCCACAGCCAGAGAAGGATGGGGAGGGTTTTGATGCTGTTTAAACTGAGGTGCAAAGTTGCTCAGTTCGGGTGGCTGGGCATTGCTTGTCTCAAAGCCAGTGGAAGTAAGGCACAGCACTTTCTCTTAAGCCAGGTAAAGACTGGGCTCAAGCACAGCATTACCACAGCTGCAGCCAAATATGATTCGACTGAATAATGCACAGTGAGGACAGGCCCAAACGGGGTCATGAGTGTGTGCTCCTCTCCATCAGTTGCTCCTCTCTATACAGCCAGCCCAACCATGCCAGGACTCTAGGATTTGGAGGACAAGTGCTTGATTACCTGCACTGTCACAGATGGTGGACAGATCACTTGCAGCCAGACTTTCAGCAGTACTCAGGCAGCTAAAAATGCAGGCAGATACATGGAAAGCACTTTTCATAGGCATTTAAATTCACAAGTTCATGTTCATTGACTAGAAA